TTTTTTCTGCTATTCTTTCATTCGCTTTCGCCGCGCGAGAATTGCGTAGAAATGAACGGGACATTTAAATTGGTAAAACCGGAAAGGGAACTTTTATTTCTTGCAAAGATTTGAAGCGATAAATATCTCATTTATAAAATCGGAATTTGTCACGTGATCGTCAAGCTTTAATTTGAACCGAGACGAGTACATCAATTTTTATCGTGTGAAGTATAGAAAATTCAGTTTTCCAAAACGCCTCCAGTTTCTGGTAATCGGGGCAATCGGTTATTATATTTAGATTAGATTATTATATTTAGACAGATTAGATTTAATCTATCGGTTATTATATTGTATTTTTTATCGTGTTAACGTAATGCTTTTCAAATCGCCGTAGACCTGTTACAAAGTTCACTCTTCCAGCTATAAAATCGGTTCCCTAAAAATTACAAATTATCAATGGGAAAGCCTAATGATCATATTTTTTCATGCCTCATTTATTTCGTTCAAATGCTTTAATGGGCTACGCTAGCGACACTAGCGGTCGTATTTCGAACTAAACAACGAGCTCCGTACAGCGCCAATTCGTGCAGCGACAAAACGCCCAAACTGTTAGCCAAAATTATCGACAGGCTAATGCAAAGTGACCTAACAGGTGTCGCTAGTGACTAATTCCTGGAATCTGATGCCAACGGCGACATGCGGCACGTTTTGGAACTACACAAAGGATCTTCAATGAGTATATAAATTATTTTAGATAATATTCGTTATTTTCCATCAAATTGAATACAACATGACGATACTAAATTTCTGCATAAAATGATGGATCTAAGAACGTACAATTTTGTAAGATCAGTGTGCGCAGTCCACTTATTTCTCTTCAATTTGTCTATCATCAAACTTTTGCCATTATCTCACAGAGGACATTGCCACATAATATAATCAATATCCTGAACAGGATATGAACATTCGCACTCAGGGCTCCTAATTTTGCACAGCCTAGCAAGAGACTTTCTTGTGTTATAATGATTGTAATTTTTCAATGATTGTTGTTTTCCTTGGCCAGCCTTTATTTTTAGAGAACCACGGTTTTCTCCTGTTTTCATAAAATGAGTTACAATAGCAATACCTTCGCATTTAAATTCTATTTCAAGCGACCTCTTGAAATGTTCCCCCACATTCTTTTCTTGAGAAGCTCTCTAAAGTCCGTAAGTGGCATCCCCAGCTCAGGAATGTGTACTTTCTAAGCTGCCCTTTAGCCCTCTCATCCGCTAAGTTCGTTCCCCTTGATACCACAGTGTGATGTTACCCACATAAATACTATTTCATTCTTATCACTATTTGCCTTAACTATAGATGATTTCTGCTTAACGTCGATAATATAATTATTAGTTTTAACATTAATCTTTGTATAATACTATTAATGCACATAATTACACTTAGCGAGTATCTTAGATATATGATTCGTTACAATTATTTAAAGCTAAATTTAAGGTCTCCTATATTGCCATAGATTCTGCAGTGAATACTAAAAAATTTGTTTTCGTACTATTATAGACTTTTTTAGAGCACAGTAAGGGCTACTAACTTTCGAATCGTCCATATAAACATAACACTGACGTAACATTTTTTAAATTGATTTTTAAGCATGCATAATT